GGAACAGTCCATGAAGGTTCGTAAATAGTTAAGTAGCTTGACTGTTACTTGAGGAATGCTGGAAAACTTCCAGATGTGCATCTGAGGTAGGTTGTCTGCAAGTTCAGTGCTGCTTCAGCACATCTGTCTTCATTCTTTCCTTTGATCTCCGCTTTGTGTTGTGCAGTCCTTGGCTGGCCGCTCCAAATCAGGGTCTCCTCAGAAGCTAGGTTGTGCCCAGGACTCAAATACTTTGTTTATAAGCAGAGAAATGGTCTCCTGCTAGCCCCTCTCATATGGGTTGATCTGCTGTCTTCCTCCCTTTCTTCCTGTTTTGCCAGCGTTGCTCAAGCCTCGTCTTGCTGTGAGCCACTTGAGGGCATTGAAACAGCAGAATATTAATGCTGCTGAATCCAGCTTTGTGCTGGATCAGCTTCCTGAACTAGCTCACACGAGCACCAGATGCCAAAGGGCAGGCAGTCGTGGCTGTACAGGTGGAGCAGCAGAGATGAGCGGGGCCTGCTCCTTTTGGCAGTAGCTACCCTTTGGATCAGCTCAGCTGGATTGTGAAACTGCATCTTTAGGTGCCTATGAAGTTGATTTTAAGGCAATGAAACTTTGTGCAAATAGCATGGGATTTTGAATCACATGTAGCAGCAGAATTAACTTGGCACGATATAATTGCCTGAATCCCTGTTCAAGGGACGGGCAGTTTTGAATGGTGGCTGCCGCCTGTGCCAGGTCACTCGAGTGCTCTACCTCAGTCAATGGGCAACTATTGAAGATGATGCTGTGCAGTAATGAAGTACAAAACACTTCCCCTCTTACGGAGAACTAGCTCTTATAAGGTGTACTGATATGCCTTGAAGCTAAATCGCTTTGTATGTATGTATACACTGTATAGGTATTATACCATATGCAAAGGCCAAGGACGGTTTGATATCTTTCAGAATAAGTAGTATGGTGAATGTTGTTTTTCTATGTGTCTTTTGTCCTCCTCTTCTTGCACTTTGAAGCGCTATCCTGTATGTATTTTGGTTCATGTATGTTAAACACGAATGCCAAAACTTTTGAATAGTGTCAAGTTAACCTTACTAGCATTTGGGAAATATTTTCTGATCTTGAGCAGTGTATCAGGATCCAATTAGAATTTCACGTTTGATTAAGTTGTTGGAATTTTTTTCTTTCGAGACGCTTGGAGGACCTTGTCAGTGTATCCTATGAAAGATAATCCTTTGCTACAGTGTTTTTTTCTTTGATTTTTTAATTTAAATTGTAATGACACACTGACCTAGTAAAATTTCATACATAATCTGTTCTCTTACGCGCTAATACATTGGATGAATCTCAGTAAATAAATGTTTCTCAAGTAAATCTAGGGACTCTTTAATTACACTCAGGAGTGTCCAAATAACTATTTTTGATGTATCTGATTTCAGAAAAAAATCAAAGGAGTTCTGTGCTTAGCCTCAAAGTATTAACCATTCTGTAAAGAAAGTTCATCTTGAGACCTGTAACCAGTGTGTGCAATTTTCTTTGTTTTTTGTTGTGTTGTGTGGTTTTGTTTTGTGTTTTTTTGGTGTGTTGTTTTTTTTTTAAACCTGAATGCTGCACTTAACTTTCCATCGAATCTTATCTGGTTTGAACTGTGAACTTAAACCACTTTCAGATCCTCTCTTCCTGTATTTCATTGTCAATTTTAAGATTGAGGTCTGACAGGGACATCCTGGATCCCAAATCCAGTCATCCTTGTGGAAAGGAAGGTTGCTGAATGCTGCCTTCGCTAGCTGAGCAGGCTCCTTTTAAACTAGTACAATTCCTGCTTCGTCTGATGTTTTAAGACATTTTCCGTGCTCCTTGTAGCTCTGATGTTTATTTTCTAATTTCCAGTGTGATACTGTTTGTGGCCTGATAATGTCCACTTGTGGTTTTGGCTTAAAAACTATCCTTTAATCCTTTTTCTGTTGCTAATGTTTAATGTTCTTACTGTGACAATTAATGCCATCCCCTTTCAGGTTTTGTTTTGATAGGTTGAAAACAAGTCAAACGCTTTTAATACTCTCAGAAAATAGATGATTGGGAAAAGTATAATGCTGAGCGATCTCTCTGCCATAGGGATAGGAAATAGTGTATCTTTGGTCAGTAGTGAGCTGTTAGGTTGGCTGGGTCATCTCAGGAGGCCTGCCTGTTGAGGATGTGAAAAATTAAGACTATTTTGAGTGACCATTGCGACTTCTCACCACTGTCAGCACTCACCACTGCTCCTTTTCCATCCAGTTAAGTTAGAAGGTCTGGAAGTGTTAATAACAGAAGTCTTAATACTCTTGCTTTCCTTTTGGGAATTACTTGTTTTGCCCTACAGTGCTTCTTTGCTTATGATTGGTATTTATGGGGAAAATGCTTGTATTGCTTCTACTTTGCTTCTAACATTTTAGAAGCATAGTATTTCTCAAAATCTAAAGCCTGATCTCATGCATCAACAGAAGAGGGCTGAATGGAGCAGTGTGGCAGGAGACTTTTTTACTCCATAAACAGATCAGGGTTATAACTTTAATGATATCTGACATCTCACCAGTTACTGGCTAAAAAGCTGTATTTCTTCAGTATCAGTACCTCACTTACGTGCTTGGGTAGGGGTTTGGGCGATTTTGAGGATGATAGTGTGCTGTAAGGTAGGCTGTGACTGGGCAGAGCAAAGTGGGCTGTGGAAATGCAACAATATAAGTAGCTTCCTTTAAGTGTTGAAGGGAGCTTGTCTCCAAGGAATCTCATGTTGGTCAAATGAGGTGGCAGGAAGGAGGGAGTGACCAAGTCCATCCTTGTTTCCTCCCTCTTTTGCACTGGCTCTGGTGTTCATTAAATCTCAGCGTGCATCAGGGCCAGTAATGCAGGAGAAATGTAACCCAGCAGAGGAGGGGTAAACAGTGGGCAGTTTTCTGCTGATTTATACTGAATGCCAGAATGAAAAAAGGGGGAGGAGGGGAATACGGTGCCATCCCCAGGGTTTGGGGAGGGTGTGGGGGGTCAGGTATTTCTGCTGTTAAGAATTTAACTGTCCTGTTTGGCCTTGCTCAGAATTAATTTTTTGTCCACATGGCAGAAATAGAAGTCTTCTGTAAGACGAGCACTTCTGGGTGGAAAAAAATGAACTGGATAGTCACTACAGCAGTTGGTAACTGGTGGTTCATTTCAAGCAGTTTTTGTACTTGATCTTCTAGATTTTAGAACTCTGTAATATTGCCTCCTTCATTATATGAAGGTGATTATTATGCAGACATATAGACAGTTGTTATAGAGACAATTGGATTTGCTATTCAGTGGTTACTGGATTATTATGTATAAATGATATATCAGGAAGATGACAACTGTTGACTAAAAAGCTAGGCTATGTACACTTCAGAATTCTGTTAAAGAAACAAGAAATGCCTTTTCTCGTAAATGTACGTTATTAATAATGGAAAAAGCTTTTTCTAATTTTAAAAGCATTATACATTTAGAAGGCTTTTCTATTCCTTTAAGAGTGTAGCATGCTTTCCCTGTAAACTAGTAATGCTTATGTATTTCCTCTGGAGTATCACAACAATGCAAGGTGTGGTTACAAAATGTTGAGGTGTATCTTATGGACACAGTAAACCATGCTGGAGAAAGTTACATGCCTTCAGCTTCCAGGTTTTAACTGCCAAGAGTACTTACGGACTACTTAAAATGCCTCAGAATTGGCTGAGACTAGAAAGGTGAAAGTGGGGTGAAGCTTACCCAGAGTGTGTCTATAATGCGAATCCATGCCAGCTTTGGAGTCTTCAGATGCTGGGTGATCAGTTAACAGGGAATTCACGGTATAGACAAATATTGTGTGTGCCAATGACTTCATTAATATCTCTCAGCAGAGATCTGCAGGTGGAGAGGCTAGGGTGCCTCCCTGGTGGATAAACAATAGTCGCTGGTCTTTGAAACTGAATGGAAATTAATAGGACTGAGTAATGTTTCTGTGTGGGGCTTCCAGGTTGGGGAAGGCTAACCTGCGTAGTAGCAAAACTACACTTGTTAATTTCATAATAAAATCAGCAGTTGTCAGTTAGTATGTTGATACCCCAATATAAAAAATAATAAAAAGACTTTAGGTGATAAGGTGATTTAAAAAAAAAAACCAACTAAACAAAAAAAACCACCCCACCACTTTGGCAGACTTGCTGTATCAGCATGGAAAAAGGCTGTTGAGGCTGATGTTATTTAAAGGCAGGATAGGTTGTAAATAACTAGCTGGCACAGTTTCTGCTATTCAGAGTGATGGTGCCTCTTTTCCGAAGATAAGCATGTGTATTGGTGCTAACTCATACTAAAATTGGAGCTGGTTGTGATCTGTTAGGAATAGGTGAAATGAGCAGTAAGCAGTCTCTGTACATGGTTCTATATAAATAATGGGGTATTAAAGCTTACACTAGAATTGAGGCAACATGATATATTGAACAGAAAGCTAGCTTAGGAAACCAATTCTGCATGAGTAGCTTTTCTTCTGTTTTACTTTCCCTGTCTGTAGAAAGGGAGTGATGTCTATGTTGATATCGCAGGGACAGCAAAAATTGAAAACAAGGGCATGCATACACATGTATATAAATGATTGAAAATAGTTTGAGTTTACTTCAGTTTTTTCATCTTCCTGCTGGCTATTAAACTTTCTTAGTGTAATGTAATAAATAGCACCTTATCAGTATTTGTAAGACAAAACAAGTAAAGGGAGAAGTTCCCTAGAAAAGGGAGCTGGGGACAGGTACTGTGTACAAATAGACATAAAGAAAAGTGACTTTATAGTAGTTCTAGGTACGACTAAAATGGATAAGGGGTTTTTTGGATAGGATCAGTCTTTAAACTGAAAATACTAGGTTCAGCTTACATCTCTAGATCTGACTGCCCTGAAATCATCAGGGACAGAACATTATTATTTCTATCTTCTCTAGGTTTCCTGGATAATCTTTCCACAATTTTCTGGAGGACTGATCTCTTTCTGTTAATGTTTTCTCCAGAAATACCGCTATCAGGATGAAGATACACCTTCACAGGAGCACAGCTCTCCCCACATTACCAGCGAGGTGACAGGTCCAGAGCTGGTTCATGTATCAGAGAAGAACCTGTCGCAGATTGAGAATGTACATGGATTTGTCTCTCATTCTCATATTTCACCAGTAAAGGTAGGCATTTTTTGATCGATTGTGACTGTGAAGTGGTTTGATATATATACTTTCTAGGGATATAATTTTGTGGAAGAAATTTTCAGCAAATACATCTACTTCTATGTTTATGGAACTGTTCCCTTGTAAAATTCACTTTGCAGACATTAAGGCTTTTGGCTTAGTCCCGTACAGTATTCTGACTAGAAATGCACAACCCGTAAAACACTCTGACAAATCTAGGTAACATAAAGGTCTAGGATGCAATTATGATTGGGCCCTGTTGTTAGTGTTGGCCGTTGGAGGTTTCTAGAAGGATCTTGTATAATTTGTTCCAGATTTGGTTCTAGTAGATATTTTACTCACGGACCTATAGGAAAAACGTAATAAGCTAAATGTAAAATATCTATTCAGGAACAAAGCAAGCAGAATATTGGGCAGTATCCTAGAAAACAAACTTCAAGACAGATTTAAAAACTAGGTGAACAAAGAGTGTGTGAGGTTTCAAGGGTTGTGGCGGGCAGGTCTGGTGGTTCTAGGAACTTTGAACCTAAAATGGTGAATGGGAGAAGGAGCTGCACTGTGCTTCTACACAGCGTTTGTGAGGCCCCCACTGGAATACTGTGTCCGGCTCTAGAGTCTGCGCTTTTGAGAGGCTGTCAAAAACTGGAAGTACATACTAAAGTTTCAAATGACTTTCTGGCAGTGAAATTCGGAAATTAATCTCTTTGTTTGATAAAGCAGAAGTTAAGATGTGAGGGACTACATCAGTGTGTTTGGTTTTCCACAGAGGAGAAACTTGTTTATTGAATGAGTAAGGAACTGTAGGTCAATTGTTTTCTAAATATACTGACATGTTAGTGTGCCAAACTAAATATTGTGTTTTCTATAACATTTCTGAATTTATTTAGCTTGTTTTGAGGAAGAAGTGAAGAAATGATTTGATACTGATCAGTGTTTGGGTTTTAGAAGGATAACCTTGTTTATGGTAGGTCTACGTTTTGCTATTTTGAATTGTTGATGTATGATGGTAGTCCTTGTGACTGAAATTGGCAGTGTAATGTAAATAGTACCACAGTATTAAAAAAATATATATATATTTTTTTAAACTTAGTAAGATTTTTTCAGAAGATTTTAATTGTAAAGAAAAATGTTTTAAAATGTACTAGCTCTTTATAATTGATTTGTAAGTCTGTAGAGGAACAGACTGGGTGGTTGTGCTTGGTAATCTTGTTCTGGCTTTCCTAGGTTTTTTAAAATGCGCATGTTATTGAACACCCTGGGTTTTTTGTTTTTGTTTTTAACTTCTATCTTTACAAGTATTGAAAAAGAAACCTGTGTGTTTCCGTAGTCTTCAAGGAAGCACAGAGGACAAGAGCTGAGTTCTTTTAAGCCCTTATGAATAAACTTTTTAGGGTGGGGGGGCTATGCCTCTTCTTAAAGAGTCTTATAAGAAAGCTAAGCAAACTTTTCATTTTGAGAGTCACTACGATTTCAACTTTGTGTTGCTTATGAAAATAGATGCATCTGTAACGTTTGATTTGCCAAGTGTATTACATTCAAAGTAGTATACTCAATTTTGTGTGTGCCCTATTAGAAATAAAAAAAAGAAAATCCTTTACCTCTATATTTTGGGGACTTGGGGTAAACTTCTTATTTACTAGCTTTTTCCTAATTCTTAGAGTTGGTCTTACATTTCAGAAGGCATAAAGGGAGCAAAAAGGTAAACTATAAAACTGTTTGTAATGAGTGTTCAAGTATAATGCACATTACAATGCAGAAACCAGTGCACATTTAAAAAAAAAAAAAAAAGTGAGATTCAAGATCTGTTTCCACTGGGGCTATGTAGACTTTATTTCGTTTTATAAAGTACTGAAGACCGTGCAAAGGAGACAGGGTTCTTGTTATCCTGGTTTCTTTCCAGCTTCCTAGGTCTAAGGGAGACCAAAGCACTCAAGTAGCACCTGTGTTTGACTTTGCTTCAGATCACTTTTGGCAATAGCTAACAACAATAATACTAAAGCGAGGATAGGATATTGGTAATATTGACATTCTGTGGAAGATCACGTTATTCCTTATCTCTGCTCCACAGTGGGAGTGGTCTTTTGTGCTTGATTGTCTGTTTAAGGCTCCCAGGCAGACTCCTACAAGCAAGCAAGGCTTGTGGACAGACCATTTATATGGGGAACTGTAACTGTCCGTTTCCATTAAGCAGCTTCTGTCCACTGTAACTTTCTGGTAAGAGGCTGATTGAAAACTCAGAAGTTTTACAGAAATAAATATGAGTGATCGTTCTCTGCATTCCTCTGCTCAGATAGGATCACCTCCAGATTAAAAATGTCAGTGGTTCTTGGGATATGTTGAATATACATTTCTGAATATACAACTCTGCTGCAGTGCTCTGGGAGAGAGGCATGTCCCGTGTGGCTCGGAGGAAAGCTACTATTATCTTTCTCTAAAGCATAAGAACCAGGAAATCTCTACGTAATAGGAAAGAATGTGTATAAGAGCAATATTCATGTGCAAGTCTTGTATGACCACTTATACCATACAACTGAGGTTTCTTTTTTTCCTGGAGATAACTGTCTTCAGTTATTTCCAAGGTTCCTGTAGTATGCTTAGTGTAGCCAGTCCTTTCTTTTTGGCCGAATAATCTGCAAGAGATGTTTGTGGTTTTGGCATAGCATATGTTGAAGATATATTTAGCAGCAATAGCTCTGAGTTAAGAGAGCTCTGCATAATTTATTTGGTAGGTTGGCTTGTTGCCCTATGTTCTAGGGACCAGGTCTTAGCTAATATACAAGATCTTGACTAGCTGTTTTCACTAGCAAATTTCTGTAAGGAAACCAGCTGTAACAGAGGACATTAAAAGTCATACAAAACACACAGAAGTGTTCATTATACTAATAAAATAATGTATGCGTTTTAACAGGAAGATTGTTTTGTAAAACATCAACACTACATGTATCTGAAACTTTCAGATACAGAGTGTTATTAGTTTAAGAACATATAGTTAAATGCAAACACGGTTGGTTTTGTGGTCATATGCAACTTTTTTGGAGGTACTGCAGAGGGCAGTAGAATCAGCCTTTCTGATTTTCTTGTAGAAGGAAGTCCTTTTATAGTGTAGAACGATAATGCAGAGTATGGGTGGGTGTGGTGAAATGCCTATTATTAACTAGTCTACGTTTTGTCCTTCGGAGAAAGCATTCCAGTTTCATAGGACTTAAACATCTTTTGCAACTTGCTTGGACTGTTGCATGGTTTTCAAAAAGCAACTTTTCATTACTAAGATGACAAATGTTCATCCCTTACAAATTAGGGATACGTGTATAACTACGTTACTATTCATTAACTGTTCTAGATGAGGCACCAGAGGAGGAGAATTCTGTAACTTGGATGTCTCGAGCATCAGAGGAGTAAATTTGGCCTGGAACAGTCCTTGTCCCCTTTTCCCTATTTAACATTGCGGAGTGGAACGCTTCTTCATCCAGTAAAACTTTTTTTAATGGGAGAGAATCATGAACAGATAGTGAAATTAGTGAAACTTCACATCCTTCGGAGAGGCTTTGTTTCAAACATTTTGAAGAATGTCTTCAGGCAGACAGGTTGCTAGTTGCAGCTTTTCTTTAGTGTGAGGTTTCAGAATTTCTTGTAGAAATTTGCAATCACAATACAAGGTGCCCTGAGTTATCAGGAAATAACATAGGACTGAGTTTAGCGTAGTGGCCAGCAATGCAGTGTTAACAAAACTGACCACTAGATGGTGATGCGAGAAAAGGATTTGTCACTCCAATTGCAAAACTGAATTTAACATTGTTACCATACCTTCAGTTTGTCGTTTTGTCAATTTAGCATTTGTTTTCATTAAATAGCTCCAATCAAAGGAAATCTTTTGTAGATATGATACCATATAAATTCTTAGACTGTGAAGTAGAAGTTGAAATTTCCTATTAAGGTAGCAAACTTGGAGTAAAAGATTATAGCATGGCCTGTCATTTTAAAGTAATGCAAATCTCTGATGTAACATGATGAAAAAGATCCATCTTAAATTGCAGTGTACTTCACTTGAAATATTTTCCCTTTTGTGCACTTGCTACTTTGTTACTCCATGTTATGATGTAGCATGACCATTTGGTATTGAATAAGTTCAAAGCCTGGCTGGGGCTATTATGTGTTTCTGCGTTATATGTCATTATTTGGGGCTATTATGTGTATTTTCGCTTGTAATAGAGAAGCTCTATTTTAATGAAAAAAGTAGTAGTATATAAACTACTAAATTACTGTATTTTGTACTAGAACGAGATACCGTGACTAGTGCAATAAATGCCAATTTTTATTCTGTGAGATAAAGATGCTCTCTAATAAACTCTTAACATTAATGGAACTGTAATGAGTACTGCATATACATGTTTCCTCGTCAAAGTTTGCATAAACCCGTTTCTCGGAAAATTTTCCGAGCAGTTGGTAAGTTTGTAAATGATAGTATGATGTGGTTGCCTGCTGCAGCAGGAGGCTGGACTTGCTGATCCAGAGAACTCCTTTCAGTTCTCTTTCTGTCAGTAAAATCTTTTTCACAGCTCCCTTGAATTGTTCGCCTTAACACCAGTCTTTAAAGGATCTGAGGAGAATGTTTGCATTTGGCTTACTCCTTACACAGATAGCATACGTTAACAGCTGAACAAATATATTCTAGTTGGAGCATTTGTGCTGGCCTTATTAGGCCAATAAGGTATCTAGAAATTGCTTGTTCATGGTATACAATAAAATTTTAAGGACTGACTGAATAGGAGAGCACAGCCATAAGAAACTTAAAACATAGTAGCTGAACACTTGTCATCTTTAGAGTAGCCTTGTACAGTCATCACTGAAGTAGCACAGACGGTATGCTGCTTCCAGGAATTGTGAGAAATGGTTAATTTTGAATAGAAACGTTTTCAAGTTGTGATTACATAATCATGGGCTCCGTACACATTATATGAAACACAAAGTCAACTACTTCAGTCTCCTGTGATTCAGCG